TGTGTGTGTGTGTGTGTGGTGGGATGTGTGGTGGGATGTGTATGTGTGTGCTTGTGGTGAAACACCAAACCAATGACCCTGCATCTGGACTATGAAGAATCTTATCTTAAATTACGAGAATGGTTTGACCTGATAGCCAGCTCGTTTGAGTTTCTAATCTCCTAATCAGCAGGCAAGCCAACTGCACAGATGAAATTTTCTCGATGCACTAAACATTGTTTGTATATGTCTGGAAAGATGGAAAGATGAGAGTGAACGGTGTCATCATCATTAATTTGTAGCTCAAAATGACCCAGAAATCAATGTTGGGGTTGCACAATTACAACAGAAGCATAAAACAAGTAGAAGCAAGAATAGGTCTATCTCCAGATTGATTTTTGCCGTTATTTAGGCCTACTTTAATCATCATAAAACGAAAACAAACTAGATCTGCTCAGTTAGGCCAAGCTTTCCGTTTCTTAATATAACGTGATTAAGAGAATAGTTTGTCTCCTGATACATGTATTTGAAAGTACCGGTACATACAATTTGTTGTTGCTGTTGTTTCCGTGTGAAAAGGAAAGGGGTTAGGGGCAGGGTGGGGAAGGGGGTGTCAGTAGAAATCTGGGCTAGGTGCGGGTGGATTGTGGGCAGTATATTAATATATACCATTACAAAGGAAAGTGGAAGTGTGGCTCGGGGAACACCCTATTCATACTGTTCCTCCTTGTCAATATTTTGTCCACAAAGAAAACCTATACAAATGCGAGATTCCAGGAAGGTGTTTTAGCGCCGTCGTCGAAACAACCTAGATCATTCAGGAGGCGAGCTTAGACCCTGCTTGTCAGTGCCAACCCGGGCTGAGAGGGATACATCGTCCCAGCAGAAAAGCGAAGATAATAATTCTCTCCACACTGGAATCGACTCCGGTCCTCTATATTATGCGGCAGCGAAGCGTCTATCGTTACACAGACGCCGGTGTAAAGTTTATGAAAGGAAAAGTACAAGCAAGAAAGGTACGGTAATTTGAGAAATGGGTTTTCTGACCTTCGTCTTTTGCAGATTTAAATCCTGACTGTAACAGCAAAAAAAGAAAGAAAAGAAAACGAGTCAGCCTAATATCAAATACAGTCGAGGAGTCGAGGCAGATGGGTAGGCCTACGGAGTGAAAGGAAACTGTTCGTACCACCTAAAATTGTGTCCATTGG